TTTTTTTTTTTTTTTTTTTTTGACAATGCTGAACCTGGGGCCTTTGCACTGAGCGACATCCCAATCATTTTTTTAGACAGTCTGGATGAGTTACCAAGTTCTCCAGGCAGGACTCAAACTTGGAATCTTCCTGCCTCAGCCTCCCAGAGAGCGAGCATGACAGGTGTGCACCACCACACCCAATGTGTCAGATCTTAAGAAAAAGCCCACCCCAGGCTCCAGGTGTTAGCTGTCCATGAAAATCCTATGCAAGGAGATAAAATGCCACTTTAAAGTACCATGTGGCCTACAGCAACCAGTCTGGGTCCCTTTCCTTCATTGAGTCCCCACCTCTGGCTGGAGACCAGCGGGCTCAGAGTCTGGAGACATGACCAGGGAACCAGAGAGTGGCACCCCCAAACATCACAGAGGGCTTCCTGGAGGGAGTTGCCTGTCCCCTGGGTCCCAGTAGGGTTGGCCCCAGGGCACCTGGGAGGTCCTCAGGTCACACTGTAACCTCTGCTGAGGGGGGTGAGAGCCACAGGGACTGTGGTGCTGCCACCTGCTGGAGGGCCCCCAGCCTTGCCCAGTGCTGGGCTGAAGCGGGCTCAGCCGGCAGCTTAAGTGATTGGCACACAGAATCTGGAACCTGCCCGACCTGCTGAGGACCGAGGGGCCCGGGCCCGATTTCAACCACAAGTGCCATTGGGGTTGCAAGAGACAGCAGAGGCTGGCATTTGTTTTCCGCACAGAAGCCCGAGATCCAGTGCCTGTACCTGCACCTAAAGACCAAACCCAGGCACACACCAGGGTGCTGTGGAAGGGACGGAGCTGTTGTCCCCCTTGGACAGAGGAGGAAACAGAGGCTCAGACTCCCAAGGTCACAGGGCTGTTCCTGGAGGGAATGAGAGACTTCAGCTTCCCTTGCTGTGCCCACAACAGAGCAAACAGACAAGGCAAAGGAGCGGTGTTATTCAGAGGTGTGGGCAGGGATCCGCGTGGGACTCTGGTGGGGTCGGGGGAAAGGCTGCTAAAATCCTGATTCCCAGGCTGATGGGGAATCGCAGCCAGGCACTGTGGTGTGTGCCTTTAATCAGCTGCTTGGAAGCTGAGGCAGGAGGCTCATGAGTCCAAGGCCAGCTGGAACATCCTAACTAGGCCCTATCTTAAATAAACACTGCAGTTGTCAAGTGTGTTTTTTAAAACAACAGCAGAGTCAGGCATGGTAGCGCATGCCTTTATCCCCAGCCTTTGAGAGGCTGAGGCAGGAGGGTCACCACGAGTTAGAGGACAGCCTGAAACATGCAAGAGACCCTGTCCCAAAACAACAATAGAAACACTCATGGTTCTGAGAGCAGCTAAAGCTATGCCTGGAGGAAAATTCATTGACTCTCAGGTACTGCACAAACCCTAAGTCCTGTCTTGTGTTTGTTATTAGCTGCCAAAATAATAATGTTGCTTAAAAATCACAACCCTCAGTACTTCCTTGGCTCAGGCTGTGTAAGTGGAAGTGCTCCAGCCTCGGATTCCTTCGGGGACTTTGCAGCTTTTGGCTGGACCCCTTGACATCTCAGGGCTGGCTCCTTCCATCCTGGCTCAGCCGGGCAGTCAGCACCAACCCCTTCTGCAGCATCCAGCCCTGACATCTTCTCAGGGGAAGGAGGAGGAGCTTGTTCAAAGTCTGTTGAGTGAGCCAGGGGTGGTGGTGCACATCTGTCACACAAGCACTCTGGGAGGCTGAGGCAGGAGGATCTACAGGTTTTGAGACCAGCCTGGGCAACTGAGTGACTTATTGAGACCTTGTTTCAAAATAAAAATAGGGCTGGGAATGTAGCTCAGTGTGAAGGTCCTGGGTTCAATCCCTAATACTACAAAAAATAAAGGGGCATGGATGTAGAGGGTGGAAAGGGGTGGAAAACAGCCCATGAGCCCAACACCTCCCACCTTCTCTTACATGTACCTTGCATCCAGCCCCCTCTGGGGGCGCCATTGAGCACAGCCCCATCTGCTGCCTGGGGACCACCACCTGTCGCCCGGACGACTCCCTCTTCCATCTCCCTACCTCTCCCCCAAACGGCTGTTTGTCTTCTGGTCCAGACCCCCTTCCTTTCAGGGGGTCCCACTGGCCACCCACGACTCCAGAGCTCACCCTCGGCCTCTGGGACAAGCTGCCCCCTAGCACCCCTTTGAGGGCATGGACGTTATCGGGCCCACGAGGCACCCACTGGGCACTTGCTGATATTTGGGAAACCCTTGCCCAGCCCCTGGAGAAAGGAGACACCCCGAGGCTTTTGATGCTGAAACCTGGGCAAGCACAGCCTCCAGGCCATCTCTGTCTGGTCCTCTGCGCCCTGCCTCTCCCCACTGCAGTCCACCCTGCCTGATCGCCAGCCCTACACGGGCCACTCACCACCACCCTCAGATCGGCTGTGCATTGGAAACGGTGCCACCCCCAGTTTCAAAGGTGCCCCAGGGCTCTGGAGCAGCAGATCCAGTTCACTCTAGTGCTCAGGGCTAGGTTGTTTCAAACCCCATTTTCCCTGGGAAAACTTTGAATTTAGAAGTCAGAGATTTGGATTCAGCGCCATTTCTCTGTGTTCTGGTTCCTCTACAATCCCCCAGAGCCTCGCTGCTCTCAGGAGCCCTAAATCAAGGACGCACAGGGCTGCTGAGGCCTCATTTCCCAGGAGATGAAAAACCAGCTCATTCCTGCTGTAGAGGCCCGGGGTTTAAACTCACCAGTGTCTGCAAAGCAGTCCCAACTCCACGCTGTCTTTGATTTGGTTTGGGTTTGGGGGTGGGCGGTTCTGAGACAATAATTCAGGCTGGCCTTAGATTTGTGACCCTCCTGCCTCAGCCTCCTGAGTGCTGGAGTTACAGGTGTGGTGTACGCCACCACATTTGATTAGTACGCAGGGAACTTGGGAGCCTCTGCAGGTCCTGGTGCCTCTCCCCACTCCGCTGAACTCCCGCAGCTTTGGAAATGAAGAGTGTGGGATGGGATGCAGGCAGCCTCAGTGTTCTCTGAGGTGACCATCAAGTGTTCATTCTGACGGCGTCTTGCGGGGCAGCCTCAGCTTCTGGAGGAAAAGCCACCTGGCTCACAAGAGACTGCATCTTGTTTCCAGACCTCGGCACCTGCTTCTTCCCCTGAAGCCAGGGCGAATGGGGCCACTCCCTC